TGAGTAGATCAGTACCGACAATCTGCCATGGCCGGTTTGGTATAGGATGGGAAATGAGAGGCTCTTTTGCATTTGACATACGACGCTCAAGACAAATGGAGCACTGTTCGACCATGCAGGCGATCTGTTTGGACATGCCTGGCCAGAAAAGAATGTCCCTAGCGCGTTGTTTGGATTTCTCGATTCCCATGTGGCCTGCATGAATGCGTTTAAGCATCTCTTCTCTCAGCTGCATGGGAATTACAATCTTTTCTCCCTTGAAGACCATGCCGCCCATCTCAGATAACTCGTCCCTATGATTCCAGTATTCTAGAATGGCTGTAGGGCATTGCTTTCTTTCAGCAGGCCATCCTTCTTTGATCACTTTCTTTAGCGTGGACATTTGGACATCTCCTTCAGTTTTTTCTTGAATATTTCTGAGCTTCGCATCACTGACAGGGAGAGCGCTGAGTACGGTATGCACTTGCACATCCATCTCCTCACTAAGGCGGTGATCGGCGCTGGGCAACGATTTCCTTGACAACGTGTCGGCCACTGGAATATTTTTCCCAGGAATGTGTACGATGGTGAAATTGTACTTTTGCAGTTGCCAGATCATCCTTTGCAGTCTTGGTGGTGCTGCAGCTAATGGCTTTCTGATGATCGATTCAAGGGGTTTATGATCAGATTCCACTGTTACGTGCCGTCCATAGACATATTGATGAAATCTTTTGCAACCCCAGAGGATGGCCAGGAGTTCTTTCTCTATTTGAGCGTATCTTATCTCTGAGTCCGTGAGTGACTTTGAGGCATATGCAAGTGGTTTACCTTCCTGCAGCAACACTGCACCTAGTCCATATTTGGAGGCATCCACTTGCAGTGTGAGGTCTTTGCTTGTGTCGAAAAATGACAACACAGGTCCTGGTTCCCTGGTAATGATGTCTGTCATCCTTTGGAACGCTGCGTCATGTTGCTTGTCCCATACGAACTCATGATCCTGCCGCAGTAGCTGTCTCAGAGGTGCATTTATGTCTGAAAGATCTGGTGCAAATTTTGAAAGATAATTGACCATTCCCAGAATTGTTTCTAGTTCAGCACGATTCTTAGGTGGAGACATCTCTTTTACGGCTTCCACCTTGTGAGGGTCCGGTTTGATTCCATCTTTGGAAAGACGGTGGCCAAAGTAGCTGACTTCCGGGACACACACAGTTCTTTTCTCAGGATTAAGGCATACCCCTTTTTCTCTGGACCTTTCCAGCATCCTCCTGAGATTATGATCATGTTCTTCTTTTGTTTTTCCGTATACCAAGATATCATCCACGATGGCCACAACCCCAGGCAGACCTTCATAAATCTCATCTATTTTCTGTTGAAAAATGTCCTGGGCTGAGACAATGCCGAAGGGTAGGCGAAGAAATCGATATCTACCGAATATCGTATTGAAAGTGGTCAGTTTCGAGGCTTGTTCAGAAAGCTTGATTGCCCAGTAGCCGGATCTAGCATCCATTACACTGAAGTAACGGGCTCCTGACAGCTTTGGTGTGATGTCATCTAGCGTAGGCATAGGATAGTGTGGTCGCTTTATAGCCTTATTAAGATCACGTGGATCCAGACAGACTCTCAGCTTACCAGTTTTGGGCTTTTCGACCACGCACAGGGCATTTACCCAATCTGTCGGCTCTGTCTCTTTCACAATGATATTTTGCTCCTCCATGGAGTCCAGCTCCTCTTTCAGCCGATCTCGCAGGGCGAAAGGAACTCTCCTCGGTGGGTGAATGACGGGTGTGGCTGTTGGGTCCAACTGAATGTTGCTTTCCCCAGGAAATAGACCAATGCCTGTAAACACATCAGTAAATTCATCTACAATCGACTCAGACTCTTTTTCTGGGGAGGATACAGACAGCACCAGCTTAATCATGTCTAAGTCCAAACATGCTTTTAATCCAAGCACGGGTGGTGACTGGGTGTCCACAATGAAGAAGTCTAGTGGCATGGCATTCTCTTTATATTTGCAGTGTAGTTGGCAGGTGCCTTTAACTGACAATTGCTGTCCACCGTATCCTGTGAGCTTTTTGTGAGTTTGCTGCATCTTTGTTTTTAGTGCAAATTTTTTGAAGTCTCTTTGAGGTATTACATTAACCTGAGCACCCGTGTCCAGTTTGAATTTCAATGGCAAACCGTATTCTCTTATTTCAATCTCAGCAAAAGCTTGCTCTGATGAAGTAAATGTGTTTGCATTTGTGACACAGTCAATAAAGAATTCACTACTCACGTCTGGGTATGCATCTTCATGTTTGTTTTCACTTACACAGTGCACAGATTTCGGTTTTGACTTGCAAACCTTTGCAAAATGGTTATACTTTCCACATTTCGCACACTGCTTTCCCTTTGCTGGGCATGTCTCTCTCCTTTTGTGTTCTTTACCGCAGTATCCACATATTTGGAGGCGTTCTATGTGCACATTGTTGTTTTTTGTGTTTTTCTGAAAGCTCTGACGCGTTTTTGCATGCTTTCCTATAGTGTGCACTTGTTGCGCGTGCTCTGCATTTATGCTGCCGGTGGCCATACTTTTCATCTGCGCCTGCGCAATCTCATGCGATCTGGCAGTGTCGATTGCTTTTTCTAATGTTAGTTCAGCACCCTGATTGAGTAATTTCTCCCGAACATGTGGGGAATAAATGCCGAAAACGACACGGTCTCTCACCATCTCATCTGGATTAGTGTAGCCACAATCTTTAACGAGCAGTCTGAGTTCAGTGACGAACTGATCAAATGTTTCCGTGGCGCACTGCGTTTTCTCATTAAACTTGTATCTGGCAAAAATTGGGTTCGCCTTTGGTACTACGTAAGCTTCAAATTTGTCGTAGTAAGTTTTGAGCAACTTAGCTTCATCCTCAGTGAGAGTCCATGTGTTACAGATATCCCGTCCTTTCTCTCCAATCCATAAGAGCAGGTAGCTGCATTTCTCCGTCTCCTCCTTGCGGCGAAACGGCCCCGAAAACATCAGTTCAACGTGCTGTTTAAACTTTCTCCATGCATCGGGAAGATTCTGTGACTCCCAATCCATTCGCGGTGCAGGCACTCCGGCAGCATCCATCTTCGCGATTCACTCTGACACCATGTATTATTTAGTCAAAAAACGACCAGAGCCTCAGATCATTTTCACATGCGGGTCTGCTCTTTTTATTCACCTCCTAGCTTTCTTTACACATATTTCACCCACTGCCCCCTAGAGTATATATTCAGGAACTCCCTAACATATATGGGAATTACAAATCGATATTCAAACTTGAATATTACAAAGGGCAAAGCTTTGCCTCCGCTAGCCTGCTTACTAACATTACATTTGTCAGGATTCCATCCACGTCACGATCGCCATCACCGCCCACTCATTCCCAATCACCCAGTCGGACACTCCCCCGTTCACAATCACCTGATTACTGATCACCGTCACCTGTGTCCCATCACCCATGCACTATATAGCACTCACCTTCACTGCAGTCACTTGTCTGGTCTCGTCGTTACATGACTCACAGACTCTCCTTCCACTCACCTGCTACTTACCAGATTCCCGATCCTTCCGTCTCATCCGTCTCCAGTGTGACTGCTTCTAAACCACCTGCAAGAGAGAAAAAGACATTAGGCCTACCATTTCAGCTAAGCCAGTTCTATGTTTCCATATCATTTGATCCTCACCTGTTCTCTCCGACTGAGTATTCCTCTGCACAAATAAACGACAATAACTTACCATCCAGTCTGTTTCCTCTGTGAACCCTGACAACAGTATTGATGTAGTGATATACTTTAGCTTTTGTAAGCTCTTGCTTTTGTAAGACTGTTCACCGCCCCTTAGGAAAATTATCCATGATTTTGAGATCACTGTTTGTATTACCATAGTTTTCAGACAAATATGATTAAATGGTGGATAACATCGTATCTATAAGAAAAAAAACAAAAAAAAACAAAGACATACCACTGAAACATCCTGTGAAATCCGTGCTTGCAAAGTCTGTGCTTGAAATCCATTCAGCACAATCCTCTTATTTGTTAACATTGTCAGGGTCTGAATCGGGCTCGAAATGGTTTGAAATTGATGCCATCGTTAATATTTACATCTGAGTAGAGCTCGCGGTTATGAAGGGTCGTGACATTTCTCGAACACGCGCGCCGCTAAGCGCTGCCAATCACAAAACACTGGGCCAGCTAACCAATCACAGCACATTTCGTATTTCGGAAGGAGGGGCTTCAGAAATACGAAATGTGCTGTGACGACACGTTCAACAATCAGACTAGGGAGAGAGGAGCTGTAGTAATGTAAAATATTATGCATTTTTTGAACATTTAAGCATGAAAACATATTCTAGTAGGCTACACCCCAAAAACAAAATCAAGACTTTTTAAAAGGACATAATAGGACCCCTTTAACAGGTAGGACTAATACATGTATTATAAATAAATAAAATTTAGTACCATAAAATCTCTTTAAATATTAAATAAAAAACATCAAACTAAAATGTAGTACATTCATTCCATTGAAATAAAAAAAAACTGTAATTTTTAACCGTCACAGGAGGAGTACCGTTGTCTGTTAAACATGTATTGCATGTTTGCAGATTCAGAGAGGACAAGCTATGCAGTAAAATTTATCATTAAATTATATTACTGGTAAAATCTGCTGCACATATCTTGGCTGACGTGACTACACGCATATAAATACATGTGAAATGTAGCAATCAGCACACTGACATCATAAATACATTCTATTTGACAACTGCGTGAAAGTCTATTAGCACAATTTTGACAAATGCCAGACTCTTTATATAAATATATTTGTATCTTAGAGAACAGAATAGGTGCTTTTCCATCCTAAAATTTCCTTGGAAAAACTTGTTAAAAGCACTTTTTGTGACTGATAAGAGATCAGGAATCATTGACCAAGCTTTAGTCATGTAAATACTGGATGCTTTTTTATAGCAATTTCACTGAACTTTGCACTAGAGTATGTTCAGCATAGCTATATTAGTGTAGTGTACTACTGTCCAAATCAGTTTAGAATCCGTTTCGTTTTGACATGTGACACATTCACTGGAGGAATTCTTTCTTCTTGAAGCATTTACAGGATTTCAAAATGAAAAAATGTATGAGCCGAACCACCAAAAATGTCCTTGTGGTTTCTTTTGGATTTTTGCTGTTATTCACAGCATATGGAGGGCTGCAGAGTTTACAGGTAACTAATATAAATCAGAGATCATAGATTGTGTTGCTTTTTTTTATTTGTATGTCGCTTTGGACTGCGTTTGATAATGATGTAAAAATCTTTTTGTTGACATTTCTCATAATCAAACTCTTGCAGAGCCCTACAGCTTCAGTGTAATATTCATAACCAAATAGAAATTGAGCCTATAAATTAGCATGATGTTAGATGACAGCATAGGTTATACTGTATATATAAAAATATATACATAAAATAAAAAAATTATTTACAACATTACAACATAATTTTACTTAAATATGTACTAATTATAATTGAAATATGATTATTTGCAGAAAAGGTGCAAAGTAGTTTATTGATTTTTACACATCCCTTTACTAAAGAGGAAGTTGGGGTGCATGGGGAAAAAATCATAATAGTGAAAGTATGGTACATTTTACACAAATTATTTATAATTTATGAAAACAATTTATGATTGATTTAAAGCATTTTTTTTTTATCTTTAAAATCATCTAAAGGGACAGAATAGTTACAAATAGTGCTTTGTTAATTAAATGAGTGTATCTTGGTATTGATTTGTGGATGTATGTATATTGACAGAAGCATGTTTGTATGTTACAGAGCAGTCTCAATGCTGAGGATGGAATGGGCGTTATATCGCTCAGCGTCATCTATGGAGCCATCATTTTGTCCTCAATGTTTCTGCCCCCAATAATGATCAAAAATCTGGGCTGTAAATGGACCATCGTCATTTCAATGGGTTGCTATGTGGCATATTCCTTTGGAAACCTTGCGCCAGGCTGGTGCGTCTATTTCTCCACCTTTTGTACTTGCTGATCTGTTAAGTAATATACACAAATACTTAATGTAAGTGTTTAGTTTTAAGCTAAAATGTGAGAGACAGTTTCAAATCCCATGACAAGACTATTATGTGTGAGATATAAGACAGAGCTTAAAGGGAAATTCTTTCATTAATTACTCACTCTCATGTCGTTCACACAATATCTGCTCTTGTGTCAACACAACACGCAGTGCTTTTGTGAATGTGCGTTGTAGATTAATATTTTGTAAATAAAGTGGTACATTAATTTTTTTTGCGCAAACAAAGCATTCACATCACTCCATAAAACTGAGTTTAAACCATTTGTGTCACATGGATTACTTTAATAATGTCTTTACTACCTTTCTGGGGCTTGAAAGTGGTAGTTAACTGTCTATGTAGGGACAGAAAGCTCTCAGATTTCATTAATAAAATATGCATTGGATTTCCGAAGATGAACACAAGCCTTACAGGTTTGGAACGACTTGAGGGTAATTAATGACAGAATTTTTTTTTTTTTTTGGATGAAAGGGATAGATCTGTAAAACCATCATAAAAGTGGTCCATATGACTTGTTATGGAAGGGTTATGGAAGCTAACACAAAATATATGAAAACAATTATATTTAAACTTTTCAGAAGTTTGGGGCCAGTAGGATTTTTTTTAATCTTTTGAAAAAAGTATCTTACCAAGGCTGTATTTATTTAATCCAAGAATACAGTAAAAACAGTAATATGGCAAAAAATATTACTAAAAAATAAGAACTGTTTTCTATTTGAATATATTTTAAAATGTAATTTATTCCTGTGATGTCAAACACAATCACACAATCTTTTAGAAATCATTATGATGATTTGCTGCTCCTGAAACATTTCATATTATTATCAATGTTGAAAACAGTTGTGCTGCATGTTTAATATTTTGTTTTAAAAACCTTGATACATATATTGATACACTTTAATGAATAAAAATTCAAAAGAATTTAAATGTCTTTACTATCATTTTTGACCAATTTAACAAATTCTTGCTGAATAAAACTATTATTATTATATATATTTTTTTATATTACTAACCCCAAACATTTCAAAGTTAAAAAGCTGAAGGTTCTGTTAGTTCTGTTAGTTCAGTTAAGTTAGAAAAAAAATCTGCAGTTACTGAAGTCTCTGAAATCGTTTTGTTTCTGCAGGGCGAGTCTGATGACCACCTCTGCCATTCTGGGTATGGGAGGTTCTCCGCTGTGGTCTGCAAAATGCACCTATCTCACAATAAGTGGAAACTTGCGTGGCCAGAAACTCAACAAGAAAGGCCAGGATCTTATAAACCAATATTTTGGCATTTTTTTTTTCATTTTTCAATCTTCTGCTGTATGGGGAAACCTCATGTCATCTCTCATATTTGGTCAGGACTCTAACATAGGTACAGTTGAATTAAATACTTTGCCAGCATCTCTGTATTTTGGTGACTGCAAATGCACTGAGTGTCTATCCGTTTCTAGTCAAAGTCCCTGAGGAGAACCTGCAGTTCTGTGGTGTGGCAACATGCCTTGACAATTTCACCATCATTGGAAACTCAACACGTCCAGCAAGACACTTAGTGAACACACTACTAGGCTGCTACATTAGTAGGTCATATTTGTGTACACATATAACATCAAAAAGGTTTTTTTGTATGTCTGTATAGTGAGCTTAGAATGTTCAGCACTGTGTGTAGGCAATTCATTTTCATTATTCTATGAAGGTCCATTAAGACTGTATAACCTAGTGTGTCCTGGTCTGTGCAGGTGTGGGGGTTCTGGCCATGATTTTTGTGGCAGCGTTCTTGGACAACATAGACCAAGGTCTTGCCAAAGAATTTCGAAAGAACAAGGGCAACGAATCATTTTGCAGCACCTTTCTGGCTACCTTCAAGCTCTTGAGAGATCCCAGATTGTTGCTGCTCATCCCATTGACCATGTACAGTGGGTTCGAGCAAAGTTTCCTCTCTGGCGAATACACAAAGGTACCAAACCAAATACAGACTGGGGCAGAGTCAAAAAATAAAGGGGGCTTGGGAAACAAAATGTCACCAGAATTAACAACAATTCACCCAAAATTTAAGATATGGGAGCAAAAAAAAAGGTTTTTAATATTTATAGCATATAAAACAGTTAAGCAAATGGATGCCTTACACAGAACTTCAGTTATCCCCTTATATTTAAAACATTAATATCTCATTGCATTATTTGGTTACACTTTATTTGAATGTTTCCACGTTACAGTGTTATTACACATTTAAGTACTGAGTAATAATCATTAACTACATGTACTTACTATAAGGTTAAGGTTAGGATTAGGTTTAGGGTTAGTTCCATGTATTTAAGCACAATTGATAGTAATTACTATAGTAACTACATGTTGCGTATAACAAAGACACTGTAAAATAAAGTGTAACCCATTATTTATGCAATTGTAATTACTGCTTTAAACAGTCTGTAATTAAACAGTCTGTGTAAATACATTTACAGTAAATGCCACTTCAGATGCAAAGATGGATTGATTTTGTACAGGATTGTACAGATGTCCTGTACACATAGTAGAATTTAAAATAAAGTTGAAACTTATTGGCTGTATCCGAAATCACATACTTTCATACTATATTGTAGGCGAAAAACAGTATGTGACAAAAGAAGCATGTCTGAATTCACATTAGGCAAAAAGTACCCGGATGACCTACTACTTCTGGCGACATTCCTAAGTGTGTATACGATGGACACTTTACTCTCCCATGAGGCCACAGGAGAGGATTTCTCAATGGCAGTGAAGTGACGCAACTGACGCTTGTAGGTCATGTACCCTTTAAGGGTATTGCTATTGCATATTTACCCCTAAAGGGTGCAACATGATCGAAACGTTAGGATTACATTCATACTACACACACTTTTAGCTGTCGTGAAGTAATTACTCACTCAAAATAAGTAGCTACTTGAGAGAGTATTGTTTATTAGTACAATTATTTATTGTTTAAACATTTTTATATTCAAATTTAAGATCATAATGGGAAAGTTCATTTCTAATTCATTCTCATGAAATATGATCATGTGTTTGTGATCCTCTTTCCCGCAGAACTATGTGACTTGTGCGTTAGGAATACATTATGTTGGCTTTGTGATGATCTGTTTCGGTGCTACTAACTCTCTGTGCTCATTTGCGTTTGGGAGACTGGCTCAATACACTGGAAGAATCGCCCTCTTTTGTCTGGGTAATACATGAACAGGTTGACATATGGTTTAAGGTTAAATATTGTCTCTAGAATTGATGCTCATTCTGTCTTACACTTTACACTTTCACAGCTGCACTGACAAACATGGGCTGTTTTGTGGGGCTTTTGTACTGGGAGCCTCATCCAAACCAGCTGCCTGTGTTCTTTGTGTTTCCGGCCCTCTGGGGCATGGCAGACGCTGTGTGGCAAACACAAACCAATGGTGAGACCTTCACACTGCATACTAACGTTACTTAGTTACCTATCCACCTTATTCTGCTCTAAACAATGCGCGCCGCCATGACGGCGACTCCGGTTGCCTACTTCCGGTTCGTACTGTATTAGCAGTGAGAGAATGAGTTCAGGCTCTACATGTGATGTTGTTGGTTGTTTTAACAATTCAAAGAAGATCAAAAAAAACTTTTTAGAAACTGGGTGCTTTGAGCATAAGATAAAAAGGAGAGAATGCCCATGTCCGGTTCGTATCAGCTACATTCAATGCCAGAGAGTAGATGTTTTTGGTAAGCTATGCTAAAACTGAAGCATCCAACGAAAAAGGTGTATGTCTCTCCGCACCATTTTGTTGACAAACGCCTAATACGTTAACAGTTGGGATGGGCATTTCAAGCAAAAATAATAATCGAAGATCGCTGGGTATTATTTACACTTACAGAAACACTAGTTTATTAATAAACAATTCAAATATTTCATGCACAATCATTACTTTTTTTTGTGGCAAGCTTTATGCGTGCGTTGAGATGCAGATGCAGAATAGTCAATATATTACGAAAACGCCCATTATGGTTTAGCATTCTCTCCCATATAGTATACATAACTTCCAACCCAACTCAGTCAGGCACGGGCAGGGGCAGCCCTACTTATTTCACATATTTTCTAACTAACCAGCACACCACTGCGGCGTTCTGAGCGAGCGGCGCTTAATCTTCATAAAGCTTCGAACCGGAAAAGGACAACCGGCTTCCGGTTCAAACCCGCTATGAATCATGGGTAAATTCGCTAACCAGGAAAAAGGTGGATAAGACCTTATGCACCAGAGAAACGAGGGCGCCGCCATCTTTAGAATATTGTCTTTGAACTTCCGTTTTTGCGGTCGCTCTGTATATCTCTATGGCATCGCTGTCCAGGATGTTTACTTATTGTAGAGTTAACGAAAGTTATCATGAGCATTGTAATGTTTATGATAAGCATTGTAAAGAATATGTCTGTCTTAACAAATGAACCTTGGGAATTTTTTTAACGAGCCGTTCATTCATAACTACGCAAGATCGCTGTGAAAATACAGAACGGAAGTCAAAAGACAATGAGCTCAGCGCGGAAAAGGGGCGTGGCTACATAAGGTCTTCTATACAGTCAAGTTATTGTTATGAATATTAAAGGGTTAGCTCACCTAAAAATTAAAATTATCCCATAATTTACTCAGCCTCAAGCCATCCTTAGTGTTTATGACTGTCTTCTTTTAGCCGAACACAATCAGAGTTAAATTTAAAAAAAATCCTGGCTCTGAATGGCAGTGAATGGTACCATTTTTTTAAAGCCCAAAAAAGCGCTTCCATCCGTCATAAAAGTAATCCATACAACTCCAGTGGGTTAATAAAGGCCTTCTGAAGCAAAGCGATGCATTTTTGCAAGAAACAATATCCATAATTATAACTTGATAAACTGTAATCACTAGCTTACGGTGTTACAATGTGGTTCTGTGTCCTGTCATGTTTAGTGGTTCCCTGTCTTGTCATTAGTTGTCCCAGGTGTTTCCCATTTACCACGCCCCCTTGTTATCCTATCTAGCTCGTGTGTCCCTGATTATTTAAGCCCTGTGTTTCAGCCTTGTCCTTGTGAGTTCTTGTCTAATGTTTAACGTCATGTTGGTTGTTCCTGTTCCCGAGTCCTGTATCTAGTCTTGCCTGTTGTAAAGTTTGTGAATTAAAGCGTGTGCTGCAGTTGGATCCTGCCTCATCTTTAATTCAACCGCATCACGTAACAGAAGAACTCACCCCATCGTGATCCAGCAGCCATGCCGACCTGGAGTCCTGATGTCCAGATCTTCCGTCTTCGCCAGGAGAATCGCGCCATCGAGGATTATGTCGCAGAATTCCTCGAGCTGGCATATCTCGCGCAGATGAACACCCACGGCTTGAAGATCTTCTTCCGCGGGGGTTTGTCTGAAACACTCCGGTCCTGGATGCCCGAACCTGGTCCGCACGGGTCTTTGGAAAGGTACGTTGACCTGGCTCTGTTGTGGAGCGGTTCCCCGTTTACTGTGGGCGAGGAGGAGAAGCACCCTGAACCCGCGCTCCCTCAGACCGCGCTCCACGTCTTGCCAGCAATCAAGCCAGCCACCGGATCGGTCTATGGCCGAACGGGACTGATCTCCAGCGTGGCTGATCCTCCTATGAGGTCTGCACGTGCTGCCAGGAAGACCGTCATTCCAGGGCCCCGCCATGTCGAGCCCGCGCTTCGCCCCAGCCCTGCCGAGACCGCGCTCCGCGAACCCGCGCTTCTCGTCCGCTCGGCCGAACTCGCACATCACTTCAGCCACGACGAACCCGAGTCAAGTGAGTCAAGTCCCGCCAAGTCATGTGAGTCAAGTCCCGCCGAGTCAAGTGAGTCAAGTCCCGCCGAGTCAAGTGAGTCAAGTCCCGCCGAGTCAAGTGAGTCAAGTCCCGCCGAGTCAAGTGAGTCAAGTCCCGCCGAGTCAAGTGAGTCAAGTCCCGCCGAGTCAAGTGAGTCAAGTCCCGCCGAGTCAAGTGAGTCAAGTCCCGCCGAGTCAAGTGAGTCAAGTGCCGCCGAGTCAAGTGAGTCAAGTGCCGCCGAGTCTACCGAGTCAAGTGAGTCTACCGAGTCAAGTGCCGCCGAGTCTACCGAGTCAAGTGAGTCTACCGAGTCAAGTGAGTCTACCGAGTCAAGTGAGTCTACCGAGTCAAGTGAGTCTACCGAGTCAAGTGAGTCTACCGAGTCAAGTGAGTCTACCGAGTCAAGTGAGTCTACCGAGTCAAGTGAGTCAAGCCCAGTGACGCGTCGTCGCAGGAGGAGAAGGAGGTCTCGTTTGCCTCGCCAGGCTCCGAAGGGCGTTCCCAGACTCCTCGCCCTGCCGGCCCCGCCTCTGCGCCTCGCCCTGCCGGCCCCTCCTCTGCGCCTCGCCCTGCCGGCCCCTCCTCTGCGCCTCGCCCTGCCAGCCCCGCCTCTGCGCCTCGCCCTGCCGGCCCCACCTCTGCGCCTCGTCCTGCCTGCGCCCTTCAAGCTTCGGGAGGCCTGCCCGGAACCCTTTTACCACCTGGAGGTTCCTCCCGAGGATTTCCCCAAGTATTTTTTGGGGGGGGGCAGAAGGTACTCCGTGAGGGCCATGGAGACGACGTCGACATGGTCCTCATCCTCGTCTGAGTCTGCTCCGACCTGGCCACCATCTCATCGTGCTCCGCCCTGGCCTTTGCCACGCCATGCTCCACCCTGGCCTTTGCCACGCCATGCTCCACCCTGGCCTTTGCCACGCCATGCTCCACCCTGGCCTTTGCCACGCCATGCTCCACCCTGGTCTTTGCCACGCCATGCTCCACCCTGGCCTTCGCCTCGTCCTGCTCCGCCCTGGCCTTCGCCTCGTCCTGCTCCGCCCTGGCCTTCGCCTCGTCCTGCTCCGCCCTGGCCTTCGCCTCGTCCTGCTCCGCCCTGGCCTTCGCCTCGTCCTGCTCCGCCCTGGCCTTCGCCTCGTCCGGCTCCGCCCTGGTCACCGGCCCAGTCTGGTCCATCCACGCTCTGCGGCCCAGGCCCGCCTTGGCTACCTCCTGGTCCCGTTCCCCTGCACGGGCCTGGCCCTCCGTCCCTCCCCCAAGACCGCCTCCGCTTCACCGCCCTCCTGAACTTTTTTTGCTGTTTTTATGGGCGTCAGGAGCCGCCCATAGGGGGGGGGCTATGTTACAATGTGGTTCTGTGTCCTGTCATGTTTAGTGGTTCCCTGTCTTGTCATTAGTTGTTCCAGGTGTTTCCCATTTACCACGCCCCCTTGTTATCCTATCTAGCTCGTGTGTCCCTGATTATTTAAGCCCTGTGTTTCAGCCTTGTCCTTGTGAGTTCTTGTCTAATGTTTAACGTCATGTTGGTTGTTCCTGTTCCCGAGTCCTGTATCTAGTCTTGCCTGTTGAAAAGTTTGTGAATTAAAGCGTGTGCTGCAGTTGGATCCTGCCTCATCTTTAATTCAACCGCATCACGTAACATACGGTAACGGCCGTCCGCGCGTTCACGAGAGAGTCGAGTTCCAGGCGTGTGACGTAGGAAGTAGGAGTAGCGTAAACATTTATCTTTAAAAATTCTCTTTTTAGACTTCCAATTTGTGACCGGTGTTTCGTTTAAAAAAAAAGAATAATTAATATTATTATTATTAATTAAAAAAAAATGCTTCCACAGATGTTTAATGTGCTTTATATTTGTTGTATTGTATTTTATGGTATTCAAATTCACATTATGTTGTTAATTTATAAATATATGTTATAGTTATTCATTATACTGTGTATTATTCTTATACATTATTATTCTTATCATTGCAGCACTTTATGGAATTCTCTTTGCTGAGCACAAAGAAGCAGCATTTGCCAACTACCGCATGTGGGAGTCACTTGGTTTTGTTATAGCCTTTGCTTACAGCACATTCATCTGCCTGTCCACCAAGATCTACATTGCTTTGGCTGTTCTGGCCCTTACCATGGTAACTTACCTTTACGTTGAGTACGAGGAGTACAAGCATCCAACTCCACCAGTGATAATGGACGACTTGCACAAACCAGAAAAGGCCGACCTCAAAGAATTGACCGATAAAGTTATTGCCCAGACACATTTGTAAATAGATTTTGGTTGATATTTCTGCCTCAGAATGTAAAATTTTGATTTTTTTTTTTTTGTCTATCAGAGATTATTTTTTACAGTAGTTTTTACAAAGTGTTGATATTTTGATAAATCTTCTTTATAACTGTACAAAGGCACATCATTTCTTTTTGTGTTTTTATGTTTCTGTTTACCTCATTTTTACACTACAGATAGAATGCTCATATGTTAAATGTGAACATGTCTGGTTAACATTTGGCACTCAAGGGCCTGGTGGTTTCACAAACATGGCTTAGATTAAGATCACCTTAGTTCAATAAGGACATTTAAGTAGCTTTAATAAATGTGCCTTAGTAAAAAAAACATTACTGGTGTGCATCCTGAGACAAAACAATGGCACAGATATATTTTAAGATATGTCAGTGCAAGTTGCTTAAAACAGCTCAAACATGCATTTTAGTCTAAGACAGTTTAAGCCTTGTCTGTGAAACCAGGGGGGAAGTATTTGGTTGATTAGGAGATTATATAAGAAAATATTATCATAAAGTAGGCTTGTTTTTACTGATTTTGGGATAGATGTCTATATGGAGTAAATAAAGTGTTTTTCCCCACATAAAACATGACTCTAAATTAAATTACAACAGCATCACTGTGCTGAGTCAAAGATCAAAGTTTGGTGTTGAATAACATGCCAAATCTACATAAAGAAAATCATTGGGTAAGATCCTGATAATAAAATGTGTAACTGAGACCATAAAAAAGAAATTATGTATATAATTATCTTAATATAATACTATATAATACACTTTACAGACAGAAGATTAATCCATCAGCACCACTAAAGTGGCAAAAACAAGACAGAATATATGCAAATATTACCACAAGATTAAAATTAGAAGTAAATTTTTTTTGGTAATCTTTACAGCTTTTATCAGATATGGCTAAAGGGTGTATCTGCATGCAGGTTCTTCCCGAGATACTCATATAGATAGTATGTGTGAGTCATCATGAAAAAAAACAACAACAACCAAAGAATCATTTGCAGATTAAACTCTTCCGGAAGCTCAAATGGTGTTTCAAACTTTGTATGGATTATAGCAATGGCTATTACTTTTATTAAAGGCAACATGCTGAAAATGAGAAGTGAAACAATGTAACAATGAATCAAAATAACAGAAGAAAGAAACTCATACAGGTTTGGAACAACTTGAGGCCGAGTATGAAAGCATTTTTATTTTTTGGGTTAGCCTTTAAGCAGTGAGTATTTTACATCACATACCTCCAATTTTAGTTGCATGACAGGAGTTAATTCATTCCCCAATATACAAACAGCTGGACTATCAAATTCTGTATGCAATCAGCTGCTATGAAGGCTGTAATAGCTCACTGTTTTCAAAATGTGCTTTCTCCCCTATGGTAAATATAAACTAATGCTATGGTTTATGGTATATAGCCTGGCCTGCACACTAATGTACAACGTAGCCTATAGTACTGTACAGACCAACGAACTACTGCAGCTACATTGTTTTGCATTGTAACCAGTAGATGGTAGCATTCTCACTGAAAATAAACTCTCTCCCCTCGGGCCTCTTCCTTAGCTTTCTATTGGTGCATTTTGATCTCCAGCAGGTGGCAGTGTTTTCTTATTGTCGGATCTGAGGATAGAAAGAGCCATTATTTTATTAGACATTCTCTGTGATAGAGGAGAGAGAGAGAGAGAGAGAGAGAGAGAGAGAGAGAGAGAGAGAGAGAGAGAGAGAGAGAGAGAGAGAGAGCAATAATAACGTCAATAACATGGCTCATCGCTTTACCTAAATTGTAATGCTATTAGGCCTACTACGCGACATTAGGTCTACGTTTCGACTTCACTTAAAATGTGTTATATGGTTGCCCGTTTAATTTAGGCCTACATAACATTTTAATCTTTTGGCAATTACTGACATTTTTTTAAAATACTTACAAAATACACTAATCTTTACACACAGCACAAGTGTAGCTAGTTATTCGACCTTCGAAACATATTTTTAGACAGATATAGCCTAATATGCAAACAAAAACTTACGTTTGGAAAATATGTATTTTAAATGGTATTATTAGTATTAGTATTATTATAAAAACACAAAAAATACAGAATGACAATATTAGCCTATATGCCAGGGAGCAAGAAAATAATGGAGGCTACCTTTTTAAAGGATTCACAGTTTTCATTAGAAGAATCCGAAATCAGATACACAGTATAAGAAAAGGGTTGAAGAAACTATTACTGTTACTAAATTTACACTTGTGTATAAAATATTTAGCCAAGTTTGGAAAATATGTTGATATCGCTGATTCACGCATGGTGACGTCACCTGCTCTGACCGCGCAACACAACACTCACATGTCAGCAGCTCACATGGCGCGCTTTCATTCAAAGGTTTCCTAGCAACGAAAGATGACCAGAGCAGAGGACACAAAAGGAGCCACAACCTGTCTGACAGGAGCTCTGAGTGTAGAGGTTCTCCCAGACAACAAAGCCCGGGCAGGTAAGAGTGATTTATACTCTACACACGGTAAAAACTAAAACTGGGGTCAATTATATGAATAGAGGTTTTAAAAAAAGATGCTGGGAGTGGCAAGTGTGTGCTTTGTTTATATTGACACTGTCTTCTTAGTAACGTAACGTTAATTATCAGTCGCATTTCTATTAATTGTCACGTACTTTATCATAAAGCTTACCGTTTTGAATCGAGCTAAGGCAAGCAGATAGTTTTGCTGGATATGTAGGCTACTTGCTCAAAAATTTATTTTGGATAAGTTTTAGTCCCTAAATGTAGCATAGTCCCTAAATGTATGTAAATGCAGGAAATGGGATTCAAATTCGACCATTTTGTGTGTGTCCCCCCCCTAACCCTAACCCACTTTTCAAACCAAAGTTACACCCTTGACTTTATGCATATCCTGACTACCACAACTAGATAAGCCACACGCATATGACTGTATTAATCAGGAATTTGTACACACACATACACACACATTGTGTTTTCAAGTTTTATGGCGACTTTCTATAGAAATAATGATTTTTATACAACTGTATATTCTATCCCCTTACACTAACTCTACCCAATAGAAAGTTCAAAAGAACAACATTTATCTGCTTTTTTAACATTATTCACGGCCGTTCAAATGTTTGGGGTCAGTAAAAATGTAAAGAAATGAATGCTTTTTTTTCAGCAAGGATGCATTAAATTGATCAAAAGTGTCAGTAATTTTTTTTTTAAATGTTACAAAAGATTTCAATTGTAATGATGCTGAAAATTCAGCTTTGCCAACAGGAATAAATTGCATTTTAAAATATATTCAAATAGAAAACATCAAATATATAAACAGTATACATATTAGATATACACAAACTTTGATGTTAGATATGATTAATCACATCATAATATATAATAATATATCATGGCCTGCATTTGTAAGAGTCACGTGACTTGTAGTTAAGAGGCTGTTTACATTACTGTCCAAAAAGATTATCCAATGGATAATTAAATGTGATTTCTCCTTTTTCCCATAATTCGAGATGGTCCTCACTGCAGAACACGAAATCCAGATCCAACTCCTCCCACCTTACATATACCTAAACCTACCCATCTCCGCCCCCTGATCCCTAACCACACCTCTAATCCTACCCATCTCCACCCCCTGATCCCTAACCCCACCCCTAAACCTACCCATCTCCACCCCCTGATCCCTAACCCCACCCCTAATCCTACCCATCTCCACCCCCTGATCCCTAACCCCAACCCTAATCCTACCCATCTCCACCCCTTAGATCTGGATCCAACTCCGCCCCCTGGATCTCGTGTACTGCAATGAGGTGCTACTACATAATTCAGAGAATTGTCTGATTTCTTGGAGGTTCTGGGATCTTCTCTATGGCTGAAAATGTATTAAAACACTTACATTTTTAATATATTTTATAATGTAATAATTTCACAGTTAATCTCCTAATTAATGTAGAAACAACATAAAGAAAGTATATTTTAAATAGCTACTTGTTTAATGGCATCTTTTTATAAATAAAGCCAAGTATTACTGATATTAAAACAGCTACTGATGTCTCAATGAAATAGATTTTTTCCCCCCAATTTTAAACTTTAATTATAGCCATTCAACATTACAGTGTATTGAAAGCTATAATTTTTTTTATATTGATTAGGCTTAAAAAAATATAACAACTTTTAATTTAACTTCATATTTATATCATTGTGTAAAAACATGTGCCCTTCCTGCCTGTCTAACAGGTAGGAAATATACAGAAATTGAACAAGAGCGTGATCATATAGCTAATGTAACGCTAGCCAAAGGATGACAGAAATTATCGGATGCTGCGTTAATTGCGTTAACTATTTTAACTTGTTAATCTGGACAAAAATGAATCGCATGTGTTAACACGTTCACGTTGACAGCACTGAGCACTATAATAATAATATAATGTAGGCATATTTATACTGTATATATCGCATGGCCTGCATTTGTAACGAGTCACGTGACTTGTAATTAAGAGGCTGTTTACATTACTGTCCAAATGACTATCCAATGGATAATTAAATGTGATTTCTCCTATTTCCCATAATTTAGAGAATTGTCTGATTTCTTGGAGGTTCTGGGATCTTCTCTATGGCCGAAAAGGAATGTGGTTTTGCTCCTCTGGTGTTCCGACTGCATGGAGGAGCTCCGCTGGTGGTGCGTGAGGTTCTGCTGGAGCGAGGATGGGAGGAGTATGATGAAGACGAGCAGGAGGAAGGAGACTGGAACCTCTACTGGAGATCCTCTGGCTTTCGAAACTCAGACTACAAAAACATCCTGCCCTGGCAGAGACTGAACCACCATCTCAAAATGACCCACATTACACACAAGGACTATCTAGCACGACATTTGAGAAGAATGAAGAGCGCTTTCGGCGCAGCCTTGTATGACTTCAGCCCTGCTGCTTTCATATTACCAAACGAATACACAAAGTTTCTAGGGGTGTATACTAAGAATCGCACCACTGATGGAGGGAAGTCTTGCTACTGGATTTGTAAGCCTGTTCACCTGTCGAGAGGAAGAGGTATATTTCTGTTTAAAGATATCAAGGACTTGGTCTACGACTCTTCAGTAATCATACAAAGATACATCAGCAACCCGCTTCTCATTTCAGGCTACAAGTTTGATCTCCGCATTTACGTTTGCGTAAAGAGCTTCTGTCCTCTTGTAATTTACATGCACCAGGAAGGCCTAGTGCGTTTCGCGACAGAAAAATACACCCTTGCTTCTTTAGACAACCTATACTCTCACCTGACGAACACCAGCATCAATAAGTTCGGATTGTGCTACGCCATGGACAAAGAGCGAGTTGGCCGAGGATGCAAGTGGACCATGAGCAAATTCCGCAGCTTTCTTCACAAACAAGACATAAACGAACTTCTCCTTTGGCACAGGATCAGCAATATCATCACGTTGACTCTGCTCGCAGCCGTTCCTTGCATTCCCTCCAACCCCAATTGTCTGGAACTGTTAGGGTTTGACATCCTCATCGACTCCAGCTACAAACCGTGGCTTCTGGAAGTCAACCACAGTCCGGCACTTTCATTAGACTGCCCTGCTGATGTAACTGTCAAGAAAGGGCTGATCAATGATATAATCGACCTGATGAATTACAGGATGATGGATGGTTTCAGACAGAAGGAAGACCTCAGAAAGAGATATACAAGATCAGGTAGATGGTATTTAAAGCCACAAATTCCTCTGCTACCCAAAACTTTGCATGCTACTCCATCAGGCAATAGAAGCTGGAATCGGTCTATCTCAACCTCTTCAAGTTCTCAAGACACTGTGTTGTGTTCTGTGAATGATTGTGCTAGAAATAACAGCAGGTATGCTTCTCGCCCCGTTCACCCCAATTCAAAATCCACTATGTGCAGTGGACATGAAAAGGCTCCACAGAAGCTGGAGAAAATGAACATTGAGGTGGAATCTGATGACCTAAAACTCACAACCCTTAACAGTACGAGGCAGGCTCACAGAAATACACCATCTTCCGTATTCAAGTTGCCTTCTCTTCACATACATAAACTCAAATCCCCAACCGTCCCATGGAACCGCAGGACTCAGGACAGAGACATCCCTCCTTGTCGTGTTGGAGACTTCATACTGACGTTTCCCTTTAATGAGGCTACGTGGAAAGCCTCTCAGGACCAAGTGGATGTTAAGGCTATTGTGAATGAGGTCCGTAAACTCACAAACAGACTGGGATCTTCCTTTAACGAAAAAAAGAGGACAAAGGCGGACAGCAGTCAGAGTTGTAATGCTGTCAGGGACAAATTTGAGTTTCTGCTTTGGGGGCCAAAAGATCCACCTCTTCTCAGCGAATGCTACTCCTCAAATTCAGAAACTAAGTAAAATAGTTTACGTTCTTTTTTCAACGATTTGTAATCTCTTACAAGACAAGACAATTAGGGAGAGCATATATATCGTACTTGCACATACCGGTAATAGTTTTTTTTTTTTTACTAATTTAGACAGAATTTTATTTCTGCCTTATACATGTTAGCAATCGTTATATGACAATTAAACTCACTTGTGTATTTTTTTATGTTTTTTTCTTTTCTTTTATGCTCACCAAGGCTGCATTTAGTTATGCAAAGATACAGTAAAACACTAATATTATTAAAAATGTTCTATTCAAATATATTTTTAAAAATTAAATGTATAATTTTTCTGACATAGACTTTTTAAAAGTAGTGTACATGCTACGATTAGACAATACAGAAAATAACCCGAAACACATCCTCAGATGTAATGCTTATATAAGATATTTATCCCAGCTCTTCCTTACTATTTTAGGAATGTTCCTCTACTGAAACCAGAGAGTTGCAATGTAGTACAATGTCACGACTCGGTCAGAGGGTCTTCACTCTTCACCTGAATACAGTATCAGATGTGTTCATGCTGAGAGAAACTCTTAGCAACACAAGACACCTGCTGACAGCACATGTAAAAAAAAAAAGGCAGGCAGGCTTAGTTCACCCGATTGTCATTTACAGTTTATTGATATGTTTAGATCAAAGAGTTTAGATGATTTACATAAAAAAATAAATAAAAGGTAAATGGTTTTTTAGAAGTTCACTTTTTGTCCATTATAAGGACACATTCATTGTTCTTAATGTGAACCCTCCCAGATGAGAAATTTGTCTCTTGTCTCCCATCCCTATAGACAGTTTTAACGGTTCCATCCGGGTACATCCTCCTCTTATACAGTGAAGTATGGATCTCTCTCTGCCCATTAGTAAACTCCACCATCTTTTCACCATGTCTGTGGAAGCAGTGTGTAAGGGAGTAAATAAAAAAGAAGCAGAAAAAAGAAGGAAACAAACAGGAAAGGCAGACATTCATCTTACTGTGATATCTTGACAACAGTTCCATCTGGAAAAATGCTTTCCTCTCGACCGTCGGAGTGGAGAATCTTGACGGTGCCATCCGGGAAGGATATTTCCCTTGTGCCATCAGGATGGTGTTTTTCTAGGGAAATGTTACATTTAAACAGACATTTAAAATCCCATATTCAAATTACACTGACATTTTGAAATACATTCACTCAGAAAGTAGTAGCCTAAATTTGACAAATTACAAAGAAACTGCTAAAAAGGCTAATTCCTGTAGTAAAAAAATAAACCAAAATGTTTTTGAAATACATTTATTTTAAGCTAAGTATACTACATTTACATATTTATGCACTTAATACCATGTAATTGTACATTTACTACACTAAATTGATATACTTAAAAGTCTGCTAAATTGGATACTAAATTGGAAACTAATTTTGTACTTAATGTACTTTAGTTATCCGGAAATAGTGTTGAAGTCCAACTAAAGACATACTTAAGTATATAATATGACTGTGCTAAAATTATAATAAAACACATTTTAGGCTCAATATTGAGAAATGTGCTTTGTTGCAATAAAGTTATTTACTTCATTCCCTGTGAATAAAGTACTCCAAATAAAGGCTAATTATAATATTTATATCTGTTAGTCTCAGTAATAAATTTACATATAAGTAATATGATAAAGCAATATATCAGTAAATATCTTAATGGTTTTGTAGTATACCTAATATGAAATAAATGTATTTTAAATACATTTTGGTATAGGTTTTTTTTTCACTAGGGTCACACTGCACTGACGGATAAAGACTAATGCCAACAATCACCAGATTACAGTGCGTCCTTTCTCAAACATTACACGACCTGACAAAAGCAGACTGAACATGGAAACATTATGTAACACACTGATCAGACAAAACCCACCGTAGCGTCTGTCGCTGTTGGTCAGCGTTTGTTAGTGCAGTGTGGATTGGCATTAACACATTGAATTAAACATGAAATGTTGAAGTAGAAAGACTGAAATAGTAATGTACTCCAATAGGCTTTTTTACAACTTTGAAAATTCTGTTTTTTGTTGTTGTTTTTTTACAGTGTATGTCAACAAAAGAACATGTTTTTCTAACCTCTTTGGTTGTTTGGAAACTGTACAACCTCCAAACCAGATGGATAGGTTGAGTGTGTTGTTTGAGCGTCACAATAGTAGTATATCTAGACATATAGAAATTAAATTGTTAACTTAGAAATTTAAAACAGTTTAATTGTTAACTTAAATGGCAAAACCAAACAATAATTTGAAAATGAACAAAAACTGCCTGGATGTTGTGCATTTGAAGCACGAACAAAAAGCTAAACAACTTTCGTAATTTGCAGTGCTTTGGTATAAAAAAAACTAAAACTATTACAAAAATGCAAATGAAATAAAAACTATTTAATCAGCATTAAAACTAGAGGAAACCATACTAAACCTGGAAACCAAAATACAAAATTAAATAAAAACAAGTGACATTTTGAAACCTTAAAAACCCTGATCTGAAGACTTAACTGAAAAACACAAAGACAAAAGGTGTGGTGAATTACGGGAAACAAAAACCGAAAGCTTAAGCCTGTAGGAACATGTAAATATGACCACAAAATATTAAGTAAATTTTGAAATGTTGCAATACTGCAGCAGTAAATATGGGAACAGACTTGAAAAGACATCCTTATTCTCTAAGGGCCTCATGATACACACCACAGTCCCGTCAGCCTGTGTGCGTTTAACATCTCCATTGAAGAAGGTAACAGTGACCGACTTGTCAACACCAATCTCTTTCTTTGTTCCATTGCGAAATGTGATCACACGGCATCCATTCAAAAAAAGACGTTCTACCTGAGAGAAAGTAGAACATTTTGAAAAAGGAAGACGTGCGTAATACAAATTTCTAATTGCAAAACACCCTCCTTACTCTTCCATCTGGATAGTGAGTTTCCTCCCGTATTTTGTCTTTTCTGGCCTGGGATGCCATTTGTGCATCATTGCAGTCAGTATGATGATAAAACAAACTTCCCTGTGAACAAAAGTGTCATTATGATACTATGATGCATTGCACATTTCATAATAGGGACTGGGTCAGAGTCTTTCATGATGAGTGATACATGATGGGATAAACACTCAGAAGAAAGGTACAAAAGCCGTCACTGCTTTTATACGTTTTTTTCCGGAGAGTGTACTGTGCAAGTGTGTGCCATTCCATGCTCTGAGAGTACTGATGTTGACTGCCTGTATTGGATGAGCTGTGCCTTTAAGAGAAAAGTAAATACCTTTCCGCCACTCATGCCATTGTTCTGTGGACTGTCAGTGGAAAGTGCAGAATTCTTTCCTTTTGACAAACATAACAAACAAGATATAGCAGGTTGAACACAGTAGGCTTAGATTCAGTGATGACAACGTGTATTTTAGTTCATAAGAGATGAAGCACAAGAAAACATACATACTCAAAGAGTCGGCTGAGCATTCTGTTATCCTGTTCGCTTTGGTAAGAGAGTGTCCATTTGCCTGCATCAAAGAACAAGAACCAAGAATAACTTGAAAAATTAAGTATTTTTGTTCTGTTATCCATTAAAATATCAAAAAAGAAAAGTAAATTGATTTATTAACTTACATAAATCAAACAAATATTATGAGTTGTATGCTTATGCTTGCATGTCACAACATGCAGAGTGATTGAATAAATATATTATGTGCAAGTGATTCTGCATTTATTCTCTGTGGTCCATTTATATTGAATAGCTGAGCTATTGTTTGCCATGTTCATAATTTATGAACAAAAAGAGCTATTATAGCTCTTTTTGTTCATAAATTATGAACATGGCAAACAATTACAAAATAAAATCAGGATTTAACACTAACACTGTATGAAATGGAGATGGGTAGATGCATTGCACAAGCATGAATTAATTATAAAGAGCCGAGTCAATTATCTGACACTGGGCTTTGAGAGCCACCATGAATTATTTCTGAAGAGATTAAAGGGCACTTGAGAACACATTACACACCTCAACGGCTTTATAGCAATTGAGTTTAGCTGAACTAGTTGTATGGGTCCTTACAACAAATGACTACAAATAAAAAAGAAAATATTTACTTTAAAGTAAAATAATATTTTCATAATTAATATTTCATAGCAAGACCATGCACATTAATAATGTTAGCATACTAACATCGCTCTGTTGTGTCCTGGTGGTTTTGTTAAAGGCTGGAGTTGCGCTCCTAACACGAGGGGTCTTCTGTGGTTCCTCTCTGCTTTTCTCAAACTGAAGCACAACATATACAGTATGTTATTCATTGAGGCATTTATAAATACAGATATTTGCTTTTGTTCTGAGTAAAGATCATAACCTGCTGAGAAATATTGCCCGCCATGTTTAAATATTTAGGTATATGAGATAACATTTAAAATATTAAAATATTTTTTTCAGAGCATTTTTTGTATGTTCGTTTCGATAGACCACTTTAAACATTCTTCTAAGTAACTTTGCAACTACAATACATGCCAACTAGCAGTCATTAGGGTATTAGTACTGTCTGCTTAATATTTGCTAGCACTTTAATTGATGGTCCCCATCAGCATTCTACTGAATATAAGTAACTTTGCAACTACTTGTCAACATATTATACTAAATCTAACCTGACAGTCTACTAGTGAAAGTTAGTTGACATGTAGTTGCAAATTAAGTTGACACGTAGTTGCAAAGGTAATTATAGTTAGTAATCAACCGTATGTTCATTCAAAAATATCATTTTCATTTTGCCCTGCTTTCCAAATACAATATCTAAATATTCTTAAAATAAGAAATTTCCTTTGAGCAAAATTGCCAAATGTACTAAGGCACTTATAATAAAACAAAACTATAGGAGACTTGACATCTATATTATATTTTGATAAATAAATAAATAAATAGTTATATATTTAAATTGTATTTCAATAAATAAAAATAAACTTCAAAGTTCAAAGGGAAAGTGTACAATATTGGGAAATATTGTATAAACCTCTTTAAATGTAGTTAGGTTTCAGACAGGGCTTAGATTGAGCCAGGATTTGGCCTTAGTTCAATAAGGACATTTAAGTAGCTTTTATGTGTATAAAAATATAGTTTAAATCAAAATATTGAATCTGTGGATCATTATTGAATAAGGTTTGAATTTACTTTCACTGCGCTGTATGATCCAGCATGAGGAGCAGAGGAACCAGCGCTCTGGGGAAAACTCTTGTTCACATTAAACCTGCTGTGAAGCTCCTGGTTCTCTCGGATGAGGGCTTCCACACGGCTCTGGAGGAGACTGTGGGCCTGTGACCAGTGAGACTCCCTCTCCATCAACTGCTGCTTCAGAGATGAGATCTGCTGTCTCAGATCCTACAGTAAATGCACAGGGATTTAAACATGATATGAAGTACTTTCTGAATGCATATTGCTATTAAAACCATGTAAGGATCCTAAAAAAAACATTGTTTGGCATCAATAGTTCCATGAAGAACCATCGACATCTATAGAACCTTTCCACAAAGGTTCTTTATAGTGGAAAAAGTTCTATACAGAAAAAAATGGTTCTTTAAAGAACTACTTACTGAAAGGTTCTTTGGGGAACCCAAAATGATGGTTCTATGAAATCACTGTGAAACCCCCCTTTTGTAACTTGTATTTTAATAGTGTATAAAAAGTAAAGTGGTGGTTCTTTACAAGGTCACACTTTCCTTTTAGACCAAAGGAAACTTTGGTCTAAAATGTCTTGTTTCTACCTGAGGTTCATGGAGTTCTTTCGTAAGCCCGAGCAAAGGTCTGCATCCATCCTCTCCTTTGAAACCATGCTCTTCCATCTCAGACCTAGTCAAATTCAGGAATATGTTTCAGGGCATATAGAGCATAGAGTTTCTTTTCAAAATACCAAAAAAAAAAAAGGTAAAAGTCATAATCTTTCTACAAAACCTGATTGAAGTATGTGGTTTCTCTTTCTCCATGCCATGTGTGACGTCTTCTGGAGTAACCTTGACTTTTGGAAATGTCTTTGTGAGAGTGTCAGGAACAGAAGGTGGTCTAAAATCACTGTGGGTCCCTCTTTCTTCTGTTTTCTTGGAGCAGTTAGCCATTGACCCCTCTAAGCTCTTGAGTTCAGAGTCACTGCTGAAGCTCGAAGAACTAGACGGAGGAGTTGAAGTGCGATGTTCTTCATTAAATTGAGTCTCACTCGGGGCATCACTAGCATAGTCTCCATCCGACAGATCCAGACTCTGATCTTTGTGATCCGTGTGCCTTGAAAGATAATGAGGAAACGGACTGTGAGGCTGAGAGTTGGGTCCGTCCTCACTAGTGCTGTCGTTAGATTCACTAAGAGCCAGTGACTCCATCACCTCATCGATCAAATTGACTTCTTTAGACGTCTCTTTGGTATGTCCACTTTGATGGTAGTTTTTCGTAAGACAGTTTTTCTCATGGATTTTGACAATGTGGTCATTAACTTTTTTAAAGCCAACACTCCTGCTTTGTGCCGGAGCAGATCCACTTGGCTTACTTCCATTTGTTTTACCATAATTCCTCACAACTCCTTCCCTGCGCTTAATTTTAAGTGAGACTGCATTGTTAGCAATATTAGCAGTTAAAGCATTGACTTTCCCTTTGTTGTTTGATAAAAAATAATCGTCTTGTAGAGCAATGGTCTTCTTCAGAGAGTCTTCCAGGCCAGGTTTTTGGTCACTGAGGTTTCCCACACCCTTCAGTGCAGGACTGCTCCTATTTGGTATCTCTTCAGTGGGTCGTACTGACTGCTGACTGGGCTTCGTGTTCATTGTTTGTGAACTAATAGAGCATCTCCTCTTTAGACTTAGTGAGCAGTCCTTAACCTTCAAAATTTTAGATGTTCCTTCTCCTTTACGAAGAAAATCCCTCTTCTCTGCTCCTTTGATTTGTGTACTAGCCTGTAAAACAGAAAGGATAATGCTTAGAACACACTTAAACTGCAGAAGAGTTTAAGAGTTTAAATGCTCATACCTGATTCTCATATTGGAGAACAGCCTGGTCTGTTTTTAGATGTTCTTCAACAAACTCTTCAAATGTTTTTTGCTCTTCTCTCAGTCCTGGTCGAATAGGCCTGTGTTTAAATGATATTTCTTTTTAAATTGTACAGCTCTCATACTACACATATAGCAAAGGTCTTCTATTATACACTCACCAAACTGCATTTATTTGGTCAAAAACACAGTAAAAGCAGCAGTATTGTGAAATAGTATTACAATTCAATATATTTTATAATGTAATTTATTCTTGTGATGCAATGCTGAATTTTTTTCAGCATCATTACTTCAGTCTTCAGTGTCACATGATCCTTGAGAAATCATTCTAATATGCCGATTTGCTGCTCATGAAATATTTCTTATTATTATCAATGAAATCAGTTGCTGATTAATACATTTATAGAAACAATCCCATGATATTTCTTTAGGAAAAATCTTATCCCAAACTGTGAAACCAATTAGCCTCTTAAGTGGCCTGGGTGGCTTAATGCTTTTATTTAAAAAAAGAACAGCAATGTAATGATACATATCAATAAACAGTTAAATTAATCATAATAATTATCAACCAAGTAATTAGCCTAATTGAGGCAGTTATATTAATTTATAACTTTAGATTTAATGTAGGTCAAGTGCGTGTTTCAGCATTTGACAACATTTCAAAAGTGGCTCATCCAGTCACAATTTAGAGTGTTTATAAATGTTTATAAATGTATTTTTGCATTATATAATACCTTTCCTCTGGGTTTGGTGGGAGACCTTGCCTCAGTCCGAAAGGGCTAAGAGGACAGTCGTCTTGTGCAGGTTCTGAAGACTCTTCTTCAATAGGACACAAGCATCTGAGCTCTGCTGATGGTACAATACCTGCAATGCAAATTGAGAATCTCTTGTAATATTATGACTCACCTTCTTGGCATATAGTGTACAAGACGTCAGGTAACCTGAACTTCGAGGAAAATTTTTTAATGCAATTCACCTTTCCAACATTATGCAAGATATAATGTCTGTCTAATGAATGTCTGCATTGTTAGTAGTAGTGACCTAAAAGTCGGCTTGCTGTGCAAATATATAAGGTGTGGCAAATCTTTTAAACAGGTCATGTCCTTATGCTATAAAAGGCAATACTTGCCCTTCAGCTATTTCTTCTTTCTTTCACATATCTGCTCAAGCTTGTCTGGACAAGCCACTAAATAGACCTATAATGAACAAGGTGTTTAGGACAGAATATCAATAACCATCAAATTTTTGTGTGTACATTTGTTATAACTTGCATGGTGAAGTCAACACACCCACTATTGTCCTGCCTAAATATGCTCAGTTCTTATATGATCTTTGCAAATGTCTTTAGCTGATTTTGTTTTTTTTTATGTTTGTTTGCTTTGTCCATTGTGTCAACCTTCCTGACACTTGATCTCTATCAATGCACGCTCACTGAGTGCTCTAAAGATTTAAACTTCAGTTGTCCTTGATGACTGCACTTTTTTTTTGTCTTTTTCAAAGCAGTTCGTGACATCAGGCATTTAACTTCTCAACAGGTAGAGACTTGAACGCTCAGGCGGAGGAAGGGCTTTGCCTTTACGTCTGAGGAGCTTTAAAATGCTCTGCTTTGAGAGCACAGACATTCAACATCTACACACATTAGGAAGCGGTTCAGACCAGGGATCTGTCAAATATGGAGGATTCAAACGACACAGACAAGAGCTGTCTGGAGAACATCGACAAAAGCAGAGCGCTGTATATTTTCTACTCTTCTGTGGTTGTGCTGGAGTTTATCTTGGGTCTCCTGCTGAACATTTCAGTTATCCATCTCTTCATCTTCAAGCTCAAGTTCTGGAAATCTAAAACCATTGACATTTTCCTGTTCAATCTGGTCCTGGCTGACATTTTGTTGCTGATTGGATTGCCCGTAAAGGCGTACAACTTTCAGCAATGTAGTGAAAATAAGGTAGTGTGCAAAGTACAGCTCTTTCTGCAGTTTCTCAACCGAGGAGCCAGCATCGCTTTCCTGACGGTCATCTCCATTTATCGATATTTTAGCGTAGTCCATCCAGGGAAGAGGAAACGGCTAAGGATTTTGAAACGATCACCTCAGATTTCTATATTTATCTGGGTGCTACTGGGAATTTTGACTATTCCAGCCATGTTACAAAGTTTTATCAGGTGCAACAGCAATGAACATGATGAGGACTTCAACTATGTCGTTCTACTGAGGGAAATTGTGTTTTTTACCCAGATTCTGATCCCCTTTTTGGTTCTTGTGTTCTGCTCAATACTGATTATCAAAAGACTCAATCAGAAGTCGGTGGGTGACAAGACTAAGCTCCGGAGAGCGATGTTCCTCGTCACTACGGTGGTTCTCGTCTTCGCTGTCTGCTTCTTGCCTTATACCGTTACAAGAGCGGTGCAGCTAAAGAAGAATGGGCATGTCATGAAAGAGGAAAAAGTTACTGTCGTTAAACTGTACGATGGGTTTGTTTGTCTCTCTTATCTGAACTGTCTGCTGGATCCAATCCTGTACTGCCTGAGCAGCAGTAAATTTAAGAAGTTATACATGTCGATGTATCTCCCCTTTCTGCTGGAGAAGGAACAACCCGACAGTTCAGATGACACTGCGGATGAGTGAACCAGGCATGCCAGCTGAAAAACAGGATCCTTGGAAAGACTGTTGAGGGGAATTTTTTAGTAAATTATTTGCAATTGTATTGTTTAATACATTTTGAATAGTTGACTTGACACAACCTGACATCATGTCCAAGAGTTATTTATTTTTGAAATGTATTTTTTTTTTAAATCAATGTCTGGATTTTAGTAAAAAAAAAAAGGAATGTATATTGCAAACAGTCTCTATCTTATGCACTGTGATCATTTTAAATGACCATTTTGCCTTTATAGTTTATTGTAAATGGTCCTGCAGTGTGACAATTTTTAATTCACAAATAGTCTATGTGTTCTCATTATGCTTTCTACTTATGTCCTCATATTATTTGACTATTTAACAATTAATTAGATATGAGGTTATGAAGTATGCATAATAATGACAACACAATTAGTCATATGCCATTTAAAATAGTTTTAAATGAAGTAGCATGTCACACTGAAGCATTTTTAACAGCTTTATCTCCTGTTTACACAACGTGTCTTGCACATATTGGACATTCTGATGTGATGTATTTGTAAATGTGACTCATGATCTGTAGTCACAGACAGTTGTCTGGTTTCTCTTTAACTGTAAAGTTATGATTCTAGAGACTTCTCTGTCAGGCACAGAGGAGGAAGAAATGTCCAAGTTTTTGTTTCTATAATTTTTTTTTGCATGTATTATTATTGTTTTGATTATTGATATGTAGAGAATATATATCTCAAACTGATTTTTATTACAACAGTATTGTAAGATAAACTTCTCTGATAAGGACTTCTCCATACCATTGCTGTTATTAGTTGCCAGCAGAGCTTCTGACTTATTCTCAACCTGGCCAGAATATGAAGGTTTGGTTGAGCTTTCCTTGAAGGGATCTAAATTCTCAGAAGTGTTGTTGAGATCAGCTTCTGAAGTGCTCGGAGGTGTCTGGGCTTGCCAGTGCGCTAAGAATGTGGGAGATAAAATCAGCCCTGAAAGAGAAAGGAAGGTTCTGAAATGACAGTGGTCAACTGATACTGCATTTGCAGGGCTGGCTTGGGGTTAAAGCTGAAAAAAGGTTGTAATGCAAATGCCACAGGTCTAGTAACAGATGTCATTTGCATTACACTTCCTGTAAGTATAATTTGAAAACTACAGCATTTCAGATATGAAAACCTGAAGAATGAAGATTTGTTTTTCTCAACCTGATAACCATCATAAACAACTGTTATATGAATGAGGGTTTCTCCAGTCATACCTGGACTGATGAGAGAGAGCAGTGTGTTCTGTTCCTGCAAAACCCTCTGCAACTGCTTCACCTGCCGCTGAAGGAGAAGCTCATTTTGGCCTGGATTCTGTTCAGACAGAGATATAAAAATCTAAATCTGTATTGAGATTCAAAATGTAAAGGTTCTACTCTATAATCTGCATCAAGCTAATAGAGTCACTAGTAAGTGTTGCAACAAAACTATTCCACACTTCTTAATATATATATATAATTATTAGAATCAAACATTGACGGAGAAGAATTTGTACTTTTAGGTTTTATTAATTTACAGTTATTTAAATAATCACAGTTAATCACTGTGAAATCAAAATTCCAAGACAATTCCTATTTTTAACGGAATATTTATTATAAATGATTTATCCATGCATATCACTTTTTATTTTTTCATTTGATATTTTAAGTAATGTGCCCTCATAATCTTTAATCAAAAATAAAGCAGCGACATCTCTTCTACTGATGTGAGGCCGGGACAACCTGTCACTCACATGAGATCCACCAAAAGCAAACCACAAACATCCAATCATCCTATCAATCCCCCATAGAGAAAATCAGGTCCCGTCCTACATTTATTCTTGTTCGAGAAGCCGTTTAACCCAGATGTATGTCAAAAAGACTAAATTCCCTCAAGATTTTCTTATGGGTTTTTATAATGGGTTTTTCAATTTATGAGTGAAATGAGGTCTGTGGTAAACAACTTGACGGTACTTGCACGAATAGCTCTACAACGTAAATTACACACACCCACATTCAGCATTCCTCATGTCCACTAACTCATTATTAAACAATACAAATTAATAAAAATGTAAATACCAAAAGAGACTAACCTCCTGAGGGGATATTTTAGACATTTTATGTTGGGCAGGTTGGCAGGCGTCTCTGCATATTTCAGATATCCGCTGTTCCTCTAACCCCTCCTGTCTCACCGACTTAGACGGAAACCTGTGGTCAGATTCACTCATTGGAGGTAGTTGGCAGATCAACTGGTTTTCTTCATGATGCTGGACAGCAGAGCCGACAGATTGAGACCCCAAACTGTCTGTCTTTGGGCTTAAACTTGTTTCTACCACAGTTCGGTTTTGGGGTATTTCTGCAGACATTGCCCTCAAATTTGACTCTAGAACTTTGGGGAAAGAGGTTTGATCATTGTTAAGAAATCAATATAGCCTTAGTTTTGGACAAACAAATGAAGCAAACTAAAACAAAATCAATACAATCCTAATAAATCTTAAAATGTCATGCCTTGAACAACTTAATTCAACTCCATGTACATTGTAAACACATAACTGAAACACAGAATCTGTGCAATTTAACGTCAACAAAACTACAACTTACCTCGATCAATTCTTTAATCTGGTTAAAGTAAGCAATGAGCATATACATGTGCAGACTTGTGCGGCCATGCACACCCTACAGCGGACAGTTTCAACTGTACTACAGTAGTTATAGTAACTGTAAACAGTGGACGTTGATACCAGATTAAAATGACAAACCTTGACGGCTTTCTACGGTTTTGCTGAATGGGGTAGACTGAGGAAAACAAGCTAAAAATCTAGTGTATTTTTCTGAGACTGCATGTTTTTTCCCCCATTGCATTATTTTTGCCTTGCTGGCTTATTTTGCTATTATTTTCTCTATTTTCCCTTCAATTCAAATCTTGAGTACACTAGTACACTAGTAACCATTTCTCATGGTTGCTTGGCTCAACGTTCACAATTGCAAAATTAGGCTGTTCTGTTTGTGTATTGAGTAGGATGGCTCCTAGTCTCTCAGTTGATAATTAACTTGTTGATTTGTGACACTGATGAGAATGGTCTTTTAAGGAGGATTGAATGTATTTAATTTCATTACTTTAAATCTGTATTCAAATATTGAAATGAAATACATTATTTTGCCGGGTCTTAGGAAACAATCTTGTAGTTTCATTAATCGATTGCTTTATAATTGATGACTTTCTCTGCCTATCCTTTCTTCTCTACTTTATTCCTCATAGTTTTCTTACTCAATGCAATTTTAGTACCAAACCAATATGAAAAGGTCCAGCTCTGATAAATCATGTGATCAGAAACAGTAATGTTGGGTTCAAACGGACTGATCGACAAACACTATTTGACCTGGTCCATGTCCTTGTTAGGACAATGATTGACTGATGAGTGACGACCCTATGATGTTTGTTGTACTGACATGCTTATAAGATTGAAAACCTCTCAAAGTCCCTGCCTGTCAATGCTCCAACATGAAGGTTCACAAAGCTGTTCTTTTACTTAGTCTATTCCTTTTTACAGGTAAGCCAACAGATATTTATTCATAGCGCCTTAATTATTAGGCTATTTCTGCGATCTATAAATTAACACAAATAAAATGAACTGAGTAAAACCTATAACTAATAGCATTAAATTATCTGTATATCATTAACGACTCATGTTACCTTCAGATTTCCTAAGGGCCCAGACCGAAAGCACAGGTAAGTAAATCTGGGCATCTGCAAATGTGTTCTTTCAATTCATGTTTTGATACATAGTTCTGTTGATCAAGTTTCAGATCTTTATATTTGAGAAAAAGTCTGCAGTACAGTTGGTAAGGGAGGGCTTACATGGGTTCTTGTTTAGGATATTTTTGCTTTGTTGGTTTCATTGAATCTAGATAGCACAGTCCACAGAACCTATTCGTCTTACTTCATCAACATCAGTAATCATGTGTTTGTTATTAGAAGCTTAACTTTATTTTTTTGCCACCCTTTTTTACATTCTACAGATGTTCTGGAAGCATATATTAAAACGGACGGGGCCTGGATAGTGAAATTGCCTAAAGGTCAATACACTGTGAAAACGGTGGAAGAATGTGCCTCCAAGTGCGACAAAGAGACTTCCTTTACATGCAGGTGCAAGTCAGACCATAACTATAACTCTCAAAATATATTGTGTTGCACTAGTGCAGACTGATCTGAAGTTAGCGAGCAATGACACATGTTTTATTCTGTTCTATTATGTTAAAATACTGGGTATATATGTGCTTTGCAGGTCCTTTTTGTACATCGAAAAAGATCAGGATTGTGTAACATTACCTGCCAACTCAAAAACTGATCAGATACTGCGAAGAATGAGTGCTGTTCTCTATGAGAAAAAGGGTACGATTTTATAGCCCAATCTATTTTATCACTTTACAGATTTGAAAGTTTAATGGCAGATGATGTTATGAATTATCTTCAGCATGCATTACTCTTGTTTAAGTACATTATAAATTATAACTATAACGGGTTACGCTTTTTCTTGTTGTTGTTTTTTAAAAGTCTACCCGAGTTAATATTTAATCTAGATTTATCAAAGTGTAGTTTGTTTGTCAGTAAACAAAGTAAAGAGGATTATCTGAAAATCTATCGTCCAATGAGGGATTTCTCCTTCAAATGTATCAAATACTGTCTAGGTTAAACAATGAGAAATGTTTCAGTTTTGGATCGCTAAAAATATACAGTACTTGATGGATGTTGTCTTAACAAGCATACTTTAGGTCAATGGTTCTCAAATGGTTTTGTTTTAGGACCCAGATATTTAAATACATTTAAAATCATGTAGTGAATAGTATTGACATTAAAAAGTATTAAGTATTATCATTAAAATCAAACATTTTAAAATTGTCCCAAACTGCATAAGACCATCAATGTAGAAAATGATTGACACAACATAGGTTGATTATAAAAATAGACCATTGTTTAAATGCATAAACAGCAGAAGTGTAATTCACTAGGCTAACCTTTGGCTATCGCATGAAACAAACATTGGGTCAAAATATTGTAGAGCTTGTTTTACCATACGTTGACATCAATAGATTTTGCCCTACCTTTGATCTAAAAAGCCAGTTTCTTTTGCCATCTTATCTAAAGCACTTATTTTGCACCATTTCAGTATTAGCATTTACCATATTTCCCTTATGTCAGAAAAGACATGAGACCCATTTTTGTATCACAAACTACATACCTTGTGAGAACCACTCCACTTGTGGGCCATAAGAATGTACAGTAACTACCAATAGGGAAATTAATACATCATCATCAGTACATGTTTTTAAGTATGTTGTAATGAATGCATTGAATTCCTTCATACAGAGTACTTACTGGAATGCGTGAATGGCATTGGCACGGACTACAGAGGGACAAAATCCAAGACAAAATCAGGAAAAATATGTCAGCGATGGGAGGGAACTTTCCCCCATGTGCCAAAGTATGTCTTAATTGGAATTTTTCAATCGTTGTGCTGTAAAAGAGAAAACAGCTTTAGGAAATACAGAAACTACAGTGGTTAAGTAAGCTAATTAACCTCAATAGTAACTTTCTACAGCATATCGCCAAGGACACATGCAAAAGCTGACTTGGAGTCAAACTTTTGTCGAAACCCAGATGGAGACAAGGGGGGTCCCTGGTGCTACACTACAGATCCACAGAAACGATGGGAGAACTGCGATATCCAAGACTGCACAGGTACATTAAGCAAAAAAAAAAAAAAAAAAAAAAAAAAAAAAAAAACTGCTAAACCTTGTGGGCTAACATACTGATGTGTGAATCTCATGCAAAAGTTAACCTTATTATGAAGTGCACTTGAGGTGAGCACTCTGAAGTGAGCAGGGCATTAGCTGTGTCACTACCACTTTATCCTTTATCCATATATATTCTGAACAATCTTAAATCCATATTTACAGTATTTCAACTTGTATAAAGTCTCTTTGTGCAGGGTTTGATAAAACTGGATTTAAATCCCTGGGAACATCACAACAATGATAATTAGCCTAGGTGTTAAAATAAATCAAGAAGATGTGCCACCCAGAATCATGTATTCATAAAAGAGAAGATTAGTTGCTTGAGACGTCCGAGCACATTTCACTAACGGCCTTGTGGAAAAGCCTTTCATGAAGGGATTCAGTTACCCACTTTCATTTGGAGCAACCTTTTGAAGCAATGTACAAGAGTGCAAAAACAGTTTGGAATTTGTCCCTTGAATCTGCTCTTTAATATCTCCAGAGGAATGTATACAGTGCAGTGGAGAAAACTACAGAGGCAAGATCTCCACTACTGTGAGTGGATTTACCTGCCAACGTTGGGACTCGCAAAAACCCCACAACCATGGTTACATCCCTTCAGCGTGAGACATTATAATTTATAGCACAAATGAGATATGGTCTATTTTGTGCATATTTTTACTATGGTCTGTCTTTTGCAGTCTTCCTGATAAGTACTTGGAAGAGAACTATTGCAGGAACCCCGATGGAGAGCCAAGGCCCTGGTGCTTTACAACCAGTCCATCCAAACGTTGGGAATCCTGCTCCATTCCACGTTGTGGTAAGCAATGTTCTTGTCAATCTGTAACACAAAGTTGTGCTTCAAATGATTAGTTCATCATTAATTGGTCACCGTTTTCTTGTAGCAACTGAACCACCCACAATTGTACCAGAGCTTACCTGTACAAGTGGAGAAGGTAGCTCCTACAGGGGCACCATTGCAGTGACGGTCTCAGGAAAAACTTGCCAGGAATGGGCTTCCCAAAGTCCCCAAAAGCATTCCAGAACTCCAGAGAACTACCCATGCAAGTAAGCATCCACATGATGGATTTGATGAACTGGTTTTGAGAGACATTCAGGTTTTGGTTAATTTCCCAAAGGTGTCAAATCCTACACGTGGAGGACCACCTTTGTGTTGATCAATCAGGGTGTTCAAGATTACTTGAAAATTACAGGCAAGTGTTTGATCAGGGTTGGAACTAAACTCTGCAGGACAAGGCCCTTTCCGGAGCTCCAACCCAATTTAGCACACATGAAAGGTCTTCAGGATTACTAGAAACTTCCAGGCAAAAGTGTTGGAGTTAAACTCTGCAGGACAGGGCCCTCCAGGAGCAGGATTTGACACAGTTGAACTAGAAGAACTAAGTAGACAGACTTCTTCAAAGTCTGAATTATTCTGTAGGGGAAAGCTGTGAAATTGTACTTGCCCCAGTATGCCAAACACATAAATAATAGTGACTGCACAGGGAATGCAACTAAAGTTTGTTTCCATCCCAGAGGCCTTGATGGAAGCTACTGCAGAAACCCTGATAATGAAAGAAGTCCATGGTGTTACACCACAGATCCAGAGACCCGCTGGGAGTACTGCAGTGTGCCAAGTTGTGGAGATCAACCGAGACCTGGTCGGTTTTGAAGGAGCCATTACAAATCATATAACATTAAATGTAGATTATGATGTCCTTTCTTTGTATGTTACTTCATATGCCCCTAGAACTGGTGAAAGAGTATAACGTAAATATTTCATTCCCAGAGGAGCCGGTGATCCCTGAGGGTGAAGGATGTTATGAAGGTGATGGAACCTCCTACCGTGGTGCCATGTCAGAGACGATAAGTGGAAAGAAATGCCAGTTCTGGACATCCATGGAACCTCATCGACATTCCAAAACACCTCAGAAGTTCCCTAAAGCGTAAGACACTACACTGAACTACATCTTGAACTGTAGCAACATTTGACTCCACTGATTTCCCCTCTGGCTCCTGCCATGATTTCACTCATCATGCAGAGATCTGAGGAGGAACCTGTGCAGGAATCCAGATGGTGACCGAGCCCCTTGGTGCTACACCACAGATCCCACAGTTCGGTGGGAGTATTGCAACATCGAGCGGTGTGAAAACAAG